AAGTACCTCTTAATATATTAAGTATATAAATATTTATACATATTTATAACAAGTATTTATACATAGAAGGCTGCAGAAACTGCATGAGGTGAAACTAATGATGACGACAATAATGTTGATGATGGTTCTTATTACGATGAAACACAACGAAAACAAGAAAAAAAAAAGAAATTAAACTTAAAAAATGAAAATAAAACTAAAATTTTCCATGCAATTATTATTGTTTTCGTTTTCAAATCCTTTTTGTTTTTCTTATTCCTGCACTTTTTTGTTACGACAACAATAAAAATCCCATAAGAAAATACTATAGGTATATGTATAAATATATTTAGTGTTATTCTTTTGCAACTGTTTTTTTTTGTTATTATTATTAAAGTTTAAATATATGTTTGCAGGTTGTCATGATATTTTTATATCTGTACACCCAGGTGTATTGGTATTGTTATATGCACAGCTCATTAAGATATGAAAATAAATTATTTGTATTAACTGTACTGGGTGTCCGAGATGCGACGGTACTCCCGAAATAATATGACACAATGAATCCAAACGAACAAAAACACCAAGTTCAATTTTCCAAGAAATTAAAACTCAAAATTAATCTTTCTTAAAATCACCCAATTTTAACTTATAACTCGGTCAATATGGCAAACAAAACCAACATAATGTACTTACTCATTTTAAAGCTATCGTTGTTGTTTTTTGCACCAAATTTCTATGATTGTTGGAATTATTTGGTAATAAAATCAAAGTAAATTGCTTTTCATATTGGAAAAGAGTACAAAAAATTCAAAAAATTTTAAAAAATTTTGATTTTTCACTTAAAGATCTCTGAAACTAAAAACACAACGACTCAAATTTCATAGGTATTGATTGAGGATTTGACCGGTTTCCAATCCCAACTTTTTTCAACCTCATATTTTGATCAATTTTCTGACCAAAAAGAAACATTTCAATTGGTAGTTCTTGTTCGTCTGAACTGAATCAAATCTGTTACCCTGCTATACGGGCGTATCTTCAAGTACCGTACACCGTGTTTAATGTAATATTATGTTAAGTAATAAAAAAAAGCACTGAAAAAATGGCGTCAAGCAGAGAAAAGTAACCTTCTTTTTATACCGTTATTATTTCAAATAACAAAACAGTAAGCACATACTATAGTGTAATGAACGTAGTAGACTCTTTCAAATTTACTGATAAATTTTTACTGCAATCTACCTACCTAATTTTTTCTCCATATTACTTCTTTGAAGTTAGGTAGAACAAACATACATAATAGCAACTTGTGTTCAAGTATTTTAACTTCTAGTAACAATTATAACAATTGTTTTGGAGAATTTATTAAAGAAATACCAACAAAAATTATTTTTTTTTTTGGTAGAAAAGCAAATTAAATATATGGAAGAAAGGGATATCATTATTATATAAGGATTATGTTATGTTATAAGAGTAATAATAACAAAATTTATGGTGTTGCTGGCTTTAATTAATGTTTCCCATAGCATGACTATCATTTTCAAGTTAACTAAATCGTAAGAGCGCTTATGAACTCATCAAAAGAGTTAAAAATAATGGAAGAGTTTTTAAATATTTAAAATAAATTTGTTTATAGAAGTGCCCGATGATTTTAAAGTTTAATACTTTTTGAAAAGAATTAAGCGTTAGGTTATGAGATTGTAGCCGTAATAATAGACTTAATAAAGCTTGTTAGAAGAGAATCTTGTAGAAATATACAAAAAATACTCGTTATAACTATTATCATGCTGTCTAAATGATTTGATGGTAAAATTTAAAAAATTCTTATGTAATTACAAGAAAGTTGAACATTTAAGAGTCTTTTAGTCGAATATTTTGGAGCGGCAACTTAAAATTTAATGCGCTTTTAAGACTACCTGTTAAAAAATTTTTTTAATGAGAAATTTTTTAATATTTCCGCACCTACGGTTTATTTATTATTTTCATGTTTTCGCTGCCACCATTACATCCCAACTATCTCCTATATTTTTTACTTATATTTTAAATAATATTTCTTGAATATTTTTATAAATAATGTATTAAAACAGGAATTCTATTGTGAAAGCTTAACAACATTCATTTTACATTTTTCTTTTTAACATTTTTTTTTGTGTTTTTTCTTATTTTTTTTTTTTTTTTGCTTTTCCATTCTTCTCTTGCTTGTATAATAATATATGTAAACAAAATTTGTATTTATGTATACATATATAAAATATGAGTTGCTCTTCGCAAGCTTTGTATTATACTTTTTATGTTTCATTGTTATCACCAACCACATTGTGTATATTATTATCATAACACGGCGCTGTTTTAACAGTTATTTACATTATTATTATTATTATTTTTATTATTATTATTACAGTCATTTCTTTTTTGTTCATTATTAGTAGTACTCTTTTCTAAATTCTAAGCACTTCTAGACATACAATACCTAAGGGTATATATTGTATATAATTTTATATACATATGAATGTATGAGTATGTACATATGAATGCTAAAAAAATACTTTTTTATCATATTATATAGAAACATATAGATATCATAAATGCACTAGGTAATTGCACCCATCAAATTATTTTACATGTATGCATAATATTCTAAGAATAAATAAATGATATACATAAATACCGCAATGACTACATAATAACGACACTTGTAAAAATCTTAACGGAACCATATACATATATTTATATTATAATATATGTAATATAAATATGTGTTAAGTCGGGAACACAAGCATTTCAACAAGCGCATATTCCTTTATATAGCATACCATAAAATTTAATACAATAACAAACAATGTTTTTAAAAGATTTTTCATTATAGTATTCATATATATATATATGTATATGTATAGATAGGAAAGGAATGTATGAAGAATACTGTGAGGTTGAGAGGAGTGTTAAACAAAAGAAAAACAATTTTTATAAGAATAGAGAAATAAAACATTAATGCATATTATATATGGGAACACTTGAAGAATAATATAATAGAACTTATGCCAACTATAAGACAAACAAACAAACGAATAAAATGCATGAAACGTAAAAATATATTAATTGGAAACAATGGCGAACATTATAGAATGCAAACATATTAAGAACAATAAGTGAACAAAATAAAATGATAAAAATTAATATGATAGTACCTACAGACAAAAAAAAAAAAACCAAAAATGCATAATAATTGGGTGATTAGTTTTAATGCAACAAAACATAAATAAAACTTTAAGAGAAATAAAAATGAAAGAGTTTTTAATGCATGCATTTTTATTGTATAAAAATAAGAGATGAAAAACAAAATATTCTCAAATAAATTTAAGAGAAATTGAGATAAAAAATATTGATAAAAATGTAGGTAAATTATAAAATGTAAAAATTTTAATTAAGAGAACTTGCTAATTTAAAATTTAAGGGGATGTTAATAGGAAAAATTTTTGGATTTTCAGCATTTTCGAAAATATAGATTTAATAGCTTTAATGGCTCATCAGTTGTTAGTTTCTTTGAAACTCGTTCTTACCGATGAAAGTGATAAAACAATAAATTTCTAGAACCGATCAAAAGCAACAAAATCAAAAAGCGTGAATTATTGTTGGCCTACCAATACCTTTCCTATATATAAAGCCGTGACATTTTACCAATTAATATTTTGTTCAATCACTTAAGCTTAAGGTTAGTTATAAAATTGTTTGTCATATTTGCTCTCAAATCTGTTATTACTTGCGTAACTATCTAAAATCTTTGGACTTTATATAATTATAGATCAGCAATAGCAACATGACAATATTGTTTTACTAAAACTGTTAAAGCTGTGGGGAGCAAAAGAAAGAGCTAAAAGGAAGATTGTCAAAGAGAGTCTACGGTGGTGTATGGAAATTCAAGCATAAATATAAGAATATCTCATAAATTTGATTTTTTTATTCCATTTGCATTATTTAAAATAAATTTAAGAAAAGACTAAAATTGTGATATAAAACAAACTATTTTGTTTGCAATAGAAATGTTTCTCGAAGAATCAATTAAAAATCTTAAAAGTCGGAGCATGTCTATTGCCACATATTTTAAAACTAAAATTGAAAACACAAAATATCATCAATAACAAACCAGGGTCCTTCTATTTTATAATAACTTCACAATATCTTTAAAAATATTTTGATTTTATTAAAATACACAAATATATGCAAAATTTATTCAGACAAAATGAAAATTTATTTTCACAAAAAATAATTTTAGAATCACAAACACATTTTATTTTTTTTTTCCAATATCATTTCAATTTCACATTTTTTTTTCAAACCTCCGATGAACTCAAATGACTATTGAATAAACGGTAAAATTCATCAAAATTTGAAGTTATAACATTTGGAATACTATCTGAATTATAATATGGTAAATCAAACCATTGATAAATTTTTGTTTTACTTGTATCAAATGAATACTTTATGCAACGATGCTCAAAAATTCTGTGAAAAAAATAAAAATAGTTTTAATACACAACTTCATTTACCATGACCTGCAATTTAAAATAATTATTATGAATTTTTTAAATATACACTTTACAATGATTTATTTTCTAAACAATCAACAATTGGATAATCTTCTTGAAAACAACTTTCTATAAATAAAAAATATTCATTTCCGACTGCATTTGATACACTGTCATTGATTTTGTGCAAACAATTAAAGAAATTTCTATCACATCTGCAATTTGACCTATATTTTCCATAAAGAAAAACATGTTAAAAAAAGAAAAACATTAATAGTGTGACACAGATATTTATAATAATAATATGTTTGTTCATTTAAACAACACTATACATATATATAAAATATCCTTGAATTGAAAATCATAACAATAATAGAAATAATGAATGATTTCCGGATGAACAAGAAAAATCATATTGTAAAATATTGTTGTTTTTTTGGTTCTTTTTATATATTCACCTTGTTGAATTATATTTATTTATGATTTCATATTTTTTGCCTCCAGATGGTATATTATCACAATGATAATGATCACGACAACATTTATCCGTTTCACGATGTTCTCCTTTTGTTATTATTATTTTTAATATCAAATTTACAACAAAAAAAGAGCGAACATTATAACAATTTACCTAAATCATTATAATCTCTGGATGTACCCTTACGACCACACCAATTCGTACCCGGATGACTTTTCATACCATCATCTTGAATTTTTTTATCTAGTCCATAAATATCATTCGTATCGGATGATGTTTGAAAATTATCATCGTTAAAAATTGGATGACCTTTAATTAAAATCAATTTGTCATCCCCATATTTTTTACAATTTCCAGGAAAAATTAAAATTATTATAATATAAATATTATGTAGAAATGAAAAGTCTTTTATTTTCAATGTTCTTCTATTCATGGCATTGAATTTTATAATACTAAGAATTTATTTCAATTTTATACCCTTTTTATATTATTATGTACTCGTATTTAATGTAATGTGTTCAGTGTTTTGTCTGCAATCTATGAATTGTAAATATTATAAAAATATATGATATAAAATTTTAATATATAAATGATAGGAGAAAAACAATCAAAGCAAAAAAAAATGTTTTAGAATAATTTCCTGATTTTGATAAGAATTTAAAAATTAAAATGAAAAAATAAAGTCTAGTTTGCACAAAATTAATGCAAATTGTACATAAATCAACGGCACCTTGGTCTATGCGACATGATAATATTTTAGTACCTATTGATATCTTGTTGCATTTCATTGAGACTTGATAATACGCCACTCTGTATTTCATACACGTAAATTAAAAATTTATTTTTACATCAAAAATATTTAGATTTGTTATAATTTAGCTACCTTAAGTGAATTTGAACTAGTTATGCTAGTTATTTCAATCAAATTTTGAATATTTGAAATTTTAATTACTGTGTAAGATGACTGTATGCAATTTACAGTTTTACGTAGAATAAATTCGAAATGATTTCAAACGTGTATGCATAGAGTTTATCCGAGCTGCCATTTTGTCAAAATTTAAAAGTATTACGAATTTAAATTTAAATCCAATTACAAAATTATTCTCAAATAAGCTTTTTCCCAATATACTAGACTTATTTTTTTAAATTACTCCAATTTTTATTATGCCACCTCTTTTAGCTTACCCCCAATTTTTTCACCTTTAAAAAAAAATTAACAATAACCTACATTTTAAAAGTGTAGTTATTTAATTTGTAATTTTTTTTTTTTCATTTTCGTTTTCGCCTAAAAAATTCAAGGAGGAAAAAGAATGTAAAACCACCTTTAAGCTATTTAAATTTAATTATCGCTAAAAAGTAAATCAAGAACTAACAATAAAAATTTTTTGGTTACCACATGCTGATCTTATTGTTATCCTAATATCCTGCTGTGAAAATTTAATTTACAATACCTATTGGTCTTTATTACTTTCATAAAATGCTAATTATTTTATCATTACACAAAAAAAAAATTAATGAAAAAATAAACGGGCAAACAAATTTTGGGTAGAAAACCAAAAAACAAAAAACGAAAAAAAAACAAAAACAGAAAAAGAACTGAAAATTAAAAAAAAAAAATTCCATTTTATTTTTGTTGCATAGTAATTATTTCTTCTTTGAAGGTACAAAAAAACATCAAACTATTTTTATTTTTTTCTCTGTATAGACTTTATTTTTTAGAATAGGGAAATAAGTGTAACAAAAACGAGTAATGTAATGAATAATGTAAATTTAAAGGTATATGTTTTCCCCATAATATATTCAGACTACAGCTTTTAACCACAGAATTTTGTATTTTAATTTTCCTGATTCATTTTCGTATTATTCGCTGCTCATTTACAAATTTACAACTATGGAAATTATGAGACTCTATAATTACTTTAAATTTTTTCCAATTTCTACTCGGAAAATTCATTAAAAATTTAATTTGTATGATCAAAAAATTAATATTTATTAATAATCGAAAAAAAAACAAAGCAATTAGTAAACAGAATGACTTCTAATTAAGAGCAATGATTTAGATATAAGCACTTTTTGGAATTCGGAATGATAGAACGTATTATGCGTTTTAATAATCATGTATTGACTTTTGCCGTTTACAGAGATTAACCTCAAAATCTACTTTATTAATATAGAATTTTTTCGATCACAAAATTTAGCCTGGTAACCTTGATACCCGAATTTCTTCAAACAAGACATTGACACAAAATTTCAAACAAAGAACAACATAAAATGTTAAGGAATCTTTCTTTATTTAATACTTTTATTATAGATTTTTTCATTATCCTTAACAATCTCTTTAACAATATGTATGTTGTTCTCATCCTTTGAAAGAGTCCTCATCAAGGATTCTTATTTTAATTTATTTAATTTTTGTATAATATTCTTGTACATTATTAAGTGGAATAACAGTATAAAATTTGTTTATACATCTCTCAAATATTAATATAGGTCAAAAAACCTTCAAATATACTTAAACACAACCGATAAAAATACGTATATACATAATATGTGACCGTATACACGTATGATACCGTAAAATGAAAATAATAATTTAGTTCAAAAGAATTTAAAATTTTTTTTGGTATTTTGGCATCGACTAATATTATAAAGTTTTCAACAAAGAGATATAATTTGCAACAATTTTGTGATATCTAAGAATTTAACATATACATTATAATACAGGGTGTCTATTACTCGACGATAATTACGAATCAGGATGGTAGATTGAAGCAAGAGTTCAAAGTTGACGTTAATATTCTTAAAATGCATGGTATTTTTGCAAGTTAATGAATGCTCTTAAGACAGATCATATTCTTCAAAATTTTTGTTTCCATTATACCAAATCCATATATACAGATTTCCTTCTGTTCGTGTTATAGGTTTCCTACAGTGAAATCTATAACACGAAATTCCGTAAGACGATAATCTTAATACGAATTATCTAAATTTGTTGCAAGATGGTGATTCGTGTTATGGATCTCTAACTGCATATACTATACATGAATATTACATTTTAGTATCTATATTTTACATATTATGTAGACATAAGCACATATTTGATTTTTATATTGAGTTTACTATTACAAACTGTAATACAAAAGTTCACAAAGTATAAATTTGTAATAAGAATTTAACAGTCGCAGAGCATATAAAGGCTGTAAAATAATAGTGTCGTTGAAGAAAATTTTGCACTTGTACAAATTGAATTTATTTATACGAGTATTAGTTTTTTAATAGAGAGAACAAGCATTTAAGACCAAATAAAATTAAAAGAATTATTAAAAGAATTAAAAAAAGTTTTAATTTTTTTTTATTTTTTTTGAGTAAACTCCATATTCTTTTCCTTTATATGTAAAAATTAGAAAAGTTCAAAAATTCCATTTATACAACACTATTGTCATTAACAGTTCAAAAAATAAAAATAAAATTTTTCTACATAACTTTTTACATACAACTTAAATATTACATACAAAAATGTCTTAATAAAAATTTCCTTTTGTCTTATAATATGTAATTTTTCTTCAACTATATTAATATACTTACACAATTTCAAATCCTTATCAAAAAAGGATAAAAGACTATATACCATATAATGCGAATATCACATATACATACATATTATATTTAGTCAAATGAATATTAACTTAAAATACAAACAAACAAACAAAGAATGTTAAAGAACAACCAAAATGGAAAAAATAAAGAGCAGAAAAAAAAAAACAGAGGAGAGAAAATAATTTGACAGGATGTGAAATTAAATGAGACGACAAAATGGATAATGTACACTCGAGTGCTTAAACAAAAGAAATTAATCCCCGTAAGCCTCATTAGCAATGATTTTCTTGTGTTTTTTTTTATTTTTGTTCTTTTCTTGATTCTTTTTCATTTTCTTCTTAAATTATTCCTCTTTTGCTTTTTCCTATTTAACTCTATATTATAATATTTACTAACACTTCATCACAATTTCAATCATCATTTATGTATACATAAAATGATGAAATTTTTTCCCTTTAATAAAGGATCATAATGTTATAATGTCATTTTTGTTTAAATAATTACTCGAAATTTAATAAAAGTCCTAGAGTAATATTGTACTTTACATAATATAATATAATCTAGGTAGGTACTCGTATATAATAAAGTTCTTTCAATTGAAATTGAATGTACTCTAATATAACTTTATGTTTTAGGACATCCCAAATATATTCAGTACAGTAAATGTTATGAAATTTAAAAAAAAAGGAAAAAAAAATATTAATTTTTAGGAGCACTTTGTTCTCTTGCATTTAAGCATTTAATTTTGAAAGCAATTTTTGAATATTTTAAGGGCTAAACCAGAATGGGGTTAACTAAGCTATTAATTAAATTAAGTTTGTACTAATTTTTTTTTATTGAAAAATGAAAACTAGAAATTGATTTTTATTGCCCCATCTTACATTTGACTTAAATTTGACAAATAATTACAAAAAATATCAAAAACTAAACAATAAAAATTTCCAAAAATTGGTTATTTGAAATATTTAAATTAAAAAAATTTCGGTTCAATATTGACTTGGTCCTCACGCTATTGTTTAATTTCATACACGCGCTGGTCAATCATGTAAACGACAAAATATTAATGAGATATTGGACATTTGGACAGTATGTCATTAGAATAAAATTCATTATACTATTTTCTTTTAAATAAATGACTAAACTAAAATATTATATAGGGATATCGTAATAAAATTTTCTTTTAAATAAAATTTCTAAAATTTCCTTTTATATATTATTGGTAGAATAATGTTGATGATGATAATGATGATGATGATCATAATTTTATATTATCAATGACGGTATAAAATAATATTTCGGAAGGAACATAATACTCTGTTGAAATAACTATTAGAATATCCTTTTTTTCCTTTTCTCTAAACTATATAAAGTCCTTAATAATAATGAAAATTATAATAATAACAATAATCACACAAACAGGATCAAGGAAAATATATCATTAAGAAGCATCACTTATGCATGATTTTACTATAGGCATAATATATATATCTTAATAATCAGAAATATATATGTACATACATATATATACTATATACATATATAAATGAATTTTAAATGTGAAAATATCAATAGATGATATTCATATGAGGTGTAAGCTAAATATTTATTCTCATATTAAAATTTGAAAAAGAAAAAAAAATATAAGAATTAAATTTCTTCGGATGTTATTTATTTTAATAAAATGGCATTGGTTTTGGATCAAAGTTACGATTTTGTATAGATTTACTTTCCGTTCTAATTGAAACTGATATAATATTATATTCGTATGTCAAATAAATACACATATAATATCCGTTCATGCATACAGTAGAAATAGGCCCGTAAGGATATTACGATATATATACATATATAAAATATGTTATTAATAATAACTTTTGGGATTTTGTTTCATCTGTGAATAACCCCTTAAATAAAGTATATTTAATAATAATTTGACCGCTTTATTATTGGTATTTTAACCTAGTAATTCTAAGAAATATTTAATATGATTTAAATGAAAATATTGATTAAAATGTATATGGGTTTCTCGGTGCAGGTCTTATATTATTATCTTATATAACACATAATATAGTTAGAACAAAAAATAAGGACTTTTATAAAAGAATATTTAGAGAAATATTTTTATCAAAAAATCAATATCAATTTCATGTAGTCTAAAGATTAATTGATTAAAAAATAACGAAATGATTTTAAAATTTTTAATGAAATTTTTAAAATTTAAATAATTTTATATTTTGTTTAAGTACAAAGTTTAACTAGAAATGGATTCCAAAATGTGAAACTACCTTTATTTTGGTTAACTTTATGGATAACTATTATTTTTACATAAACCGAATGATTATTCGTATTGTATTTACTAAAAAAAATAATAAAAAATTAATTCATAATGAATTTGCAAATTATAAAATCCCATCAATAACCATATTGATTTGAAAAGAAATTCTTACGA